TTAAAGTTGTAATTAAAATTGTAGTTAATTAAAATGAATTCTAACCTAAACTTCTTTTAAATTGTAAATAAATAAATAAATAAATAAAGTTTACTAAATTAGAGAAATGAAGTCGCTAGTTTTGCCGTAAAGATAAAAAAATTTTACTTAAAAAATATTTAAATATAAAATTTTTAAAAATTGTAATATAAATATACTTGATATAGAAAAATAATTTTACTGACTGTTAGTAACTCTGACACATTTTACTTCTATTAAATGAAATATAGTCTATAAAAACTAATAATGATTTTAAAGTTGTAATTAAAATTGTAGTTAATTAAAATGAATTCTAACCTAAACTTCTTTTAAATTGTAATTAAATAAATAAATAAAGTCTACTAAATCAGAGAAATGAAAATTTTACTTTAGTAATATTTAAATATAAAATTTTAAAAAAAATCGTAATATACTTGATGTGATAATTATTCTACAAACGGTAAGAGATTCTAATTACATTTAATTGTTCTTGAAAGAAATATAGTATATTAAAAATTAAAAGTAAAAATATTTCAATCGTACTTAAATAAAATGTATTCTTACCTAAACAACCCCCACAAAAAAATCTTTAAATATACGAAAGAAAAAAATGCCGTAAGAATTTTAGCCATTAACAATATAATTTTAAAAAAATCTAGACGACAGGCTTTTAACGGAAGTTAGATTTCATTGAAAAATACATCCCTTCCCACGACCCAAACGTAGCAATAACTGATACATTAAATTATAGACATATTGAAAACCCAGTCACCCCTGTCTAGAAAAATAGATTTATCAGTAACCTTGGAAACATGAATTTTGTTTTAGCTGTGTATTTAAAACCCAGTAATTTTAAAAAGTTACTCCAAAATTCGCTTGAGGATGAAATGGAACTAATGTCTTTAATTTAATCACAAAATTAAATTCGGGGCTTTTAGCTTCCATTTTTGAAACATGGTTAGAACTGTGAAAAAAAAAACATATTTTAAATCAATTAATTTATAATATATATATATATATATATATAATATTCTATGCGTGTAGGTGACAATGGGTAGAAGTAGTACCTTTGTTACTCGGCTGCTGATCTTATTATTAAGATGGACGGCAACCCATCGCCTAAACCGCTTAAGCAGGTGGGCTAAATAACGTGAAATTACCATCGAAAGGCGGGCGCTGCACTCTTCTGTGTACTGGTAGTACCGGAGAAGTATAACTCCGTGATGATAAAACCTGACTCCTTGTTATCAGCATTTCGAATAAGTGTGGATGATCCTACACAAGCTTTCACCTCTCTCTCTCTCTATATATATATATCCCGGGAAAATGTATGACAAAGTGGAAAAGTTTCATTTCGTCCTTCAGGAATTCACTGGACTAAATTTGTTATGTTGGTAAGACTACACATGCGCACAAACGAGGAGTGATGAGAATTTTTTTTAATATATCGAGCCGAATTCATTAAAATCTTTTTTATGTTTCCATTACTTTTGTAAGTAGGTATCCTACACTGCAATAAATTATCAGACAGGAATGGCGAAATGCTGTAAGAGTTAGGGCGCAAATTTACTGTAGATGACCTTTGCGATTAAGGCAATCTCTAGGTATATACGTCATAGTGAATTGCTTTTTCCTTTGATCAGAGTAGGATTTTTTTTATTTATTTCAAAATTGTGGTCAGCCTCGTTATGGTGGACAATCAACGCATTTAACGTGCGGTTTTGTAAAATGTCCCTTTTGTGTTCATATAATTTTTTATTAGATTCCTTGAGGTTTCTCATGTTTTTGTGACAATTATTACAGGTGATGGAGTAAAATTCTCCTTCAGGCTTTAGCTTATTATTTTGTTTAGTATTGACTATGTTTTTTTTATTGTTTTGGACGTAGTCGTAAAAAAATTATGTTGAGTTTAGATAGATTATTTTCAATTATAGATGTGATAGAGTTGGTAGGATGATATATATTTTTTATGCATTGGGTTTGTCAGGAGGTGCCGTTTTTTGTTTTGAAATATTTTATGGACCTTTTGTTTCTCATTGAATATAAAATAATTAGGGTAGTGGAAACGTTTGAAATCCTGAAGGACGAAACGCGTCACAAGTAAACTTTTTTTCATACATTTTCCCCAATACTGTTCTTGATATATTATCGTTATCTCATTTTATATATATATATATATATATATTTTATTTACATCGCTAGATATAAAAAGATACGTGCGTAGAAATCAGCACTTACTCTCTTTGAAAAAATCTTTTCGCTTGATGACTTTTGGAATTGCTGCAGCTGATGGATTGTGGGATTGTTTGATGGTTGAAAAACGTGCGTATGTACAATGAGTTGTTGTATGGTTTTCTGGGCAGTTAACATGTACCACTTTAAATGTGGAAAGTTACATCTTAGAAACGCAGTTCTTTTAGTTTGTTATTTCGAATCCTATATCCATGAAGAAATTTTAATTTTCTTTTGTTTTTTTTCTGTCTCTTGTAGTTTCCGTACAGAGTTTGAACATAAGTGTTGTGTCAGATTTTCACATGACAATTGCCTTATAGTCACATTTTTTTAGTTGTGAAATACATTTGCTACGTGTTATTGATGTTGGGTTGCCTCGTTTTTATTTTTACTAGTTTAAGCATCTAATATTTGTTAACGTTTTTTTTAACAGTTTATATATTATAGAACTTTTGTATTTTTGATAAGTATTTGTTGGATTACTTATATTTTGCTGTTGTGTTGGTGATATCCAGTTTTAATGAGCTATTATAAGATAAATAGCAAGTGAACCAGCCATATAATGTAGTGGTTGTGTCAACAATATGTTGATTGAATTATCATTCGGGATATTCTCCCAGTGGGCAAGCGAATTAGTAGACAACATTGGTTTATTCAAGATTTGATTTTTTTTTTTGTTATATCATTGGTAGTGATCATATAAGATTTTTTTTGTTTTACAGTACATGATGTTTTATTTATTTTTGTCAATAGATGTTTTTTCATATTGCTTTTCTTATATGCATAATTATTCTTGATTTTTTCTGATATTTAATTTTCTTTATCTGTAATGTGATAATTATTGTTAATGCCCTATATTTTTGACTTTTTTTTTTACAGAATATTGTGCACATAAAAGATATTTAATGCATTCTATTATTTATGATTATTTTGTATTTGTGTGAGTATTTGCTGTTTTAGTTATGTAAGTGCAGATTTATTTTTTAAATTATAGACAAGTTTATCAAAAATTAATAGAATCAAATTGATCTCTTTTAAAACAATGTTCTATAAAGAATTAAGCAATATAAAACAATAATCGCTTTCCAAATAGAATTGCTAATAAACAAATGAATATTCAAGAAAGATTTGTAACTCTTATTATAGTTCCAAACAACAGGAATGACACCACCATCTATTATGTTAATCATCCATTTAGCTTATTGTCATCATATGCATTCAAGCTATAGGCAAGATGAAATATTATTAATATATATATATATATATATATATATATATATATATATATATATAACCTACTGGTAGTAATAAACATCCAAAATTCATTATCTGTTATAAGAAGGTTAAAATTCAACTTCATAGTCACAAAAATAAAATAACATTCAATACAATCAAATCCTCTATATAAGACCATGTGGTTTATAAAACTCACAAGCCTTTCTTGCTCTTAGTCAATTTTGGTTTTCAAAAATATAAATCACTATATCCCATCTTAATTCCTGTTTTTTTTATTGTTCTCTCTCCTTCATGTTTATCATTTTCTTGTGTTCATTCACACTCCATAACCCCTTGTGTCTTAGTGGTTTTATTGTCTTGGGGTGAAATAATTAAAAAAAAACCCCCAAAAACAGAAGCTATTATATAAAGCAACCAATAAACAAACTCACTGATAAATTAAGAACTCACAATTATTATATTCTCAGAATCCTAACCCAACATCATGATCACAAAAATAATTAAAAATAAGTAAAAAATCTTATTTAAAATTTGAGGTAAAAGACACCACAGGATTCTAACATAATTAAGCTTGATTTTTGAATGACTTAACTCAGTTGAAAGCTTGGAATCTTAAATAAGGTGATATGAGCTGTGGATGACAGCTCCTTCATATTTTCCGTTCTAGTATATAACAATTAGAATGATAAAATTTCAATAAGCACATACAATTTTAATTTTTTACTGTAATGTTTTGACATTGTTATGAACAAAATAATTTTTAATGCATTTAAATCCTGTTTCAATGTTTTACACAAGATATCAAATAAAAATTGTAAAATCTCTGCCAAGTCAAGTTTAACATGAGAGAACATGAGCAAGAACTGTGTGCACTTCATTCCTTGTAGAAGTGGCAAAGGATTTAAAGGTAAAAATAGCTATCCTCTAAAAGTATGGCTGGAAGAACATAAAAAAGCTGAGGAGAATGACAATGAAATCAGACATGGCTGATCATATATGGATGGAAAAAGGATAATTATCAACCCCTGTGGAATGAAGTAAAAATACTAAACAAGTAAGAATACTGGAGAGTTAGATGACTGAAAAAAATCAGTGCATATGTTAGGCTATGAGGACCCAAAATAGACAATTCAATTGCATTGGTGGGGGAGGGGGGTAAAAATTACTTTTTCCTACTGAAATCATTCACACTTCTTTCCCACTTACACAGTACATAAAAGATGAAACAAGTTGATTGATTTATTAAAAGGAAAAAAAAATGATCACTTGCAATTTCATTATTTGGTGATAAATTTATATGATTTTCTCCTCTACTATTTTCTTGACACCTTTTTCTATTTATTTTCTTACAAAAGTTTTTTTTTTCATCAATTTCCTCAATTCACTCCTTGATAAAAAGTAAAGACAAAACAAATTTAACAGAGTAAATGAATGCATTGTTAATATTTTAATATTAATATTTTATTTTTTAATACAAGCAACACTAAGAGTTGAAAAGATATTGTTGGCATTGGTCAGAGGTTTTTGAGACGTTTCTCCATGAGAATATGTGGGTCAACCATTGTCTCACTAAACTCAGGAACTGTAAAAGAAAAAATAGAAAAAAATATGAATATTTTTGCATGAAAGTGACAAATAAATAGCAAATTCAGATAGAGAGAGAGAGACAGACAGAGTGAATGGTGAAGTACAATTGATAAACCTCAAGAATGTGCACTCATATAGACAATAAGAGTTTGAAGAGAAAAAAAGGGATTTTCTAGGTACAAACAACTAAAGTAGAAACAAAGCAACTTTGCAACTTGAAACTGAATTTTGTTAAGTACAAAGCTGACAACAAAAAAAAAAAAAAAAATTATGTGCTTGTTCCCTTATTGTTAGAGTAAAAGGTCAATTCATTCCTCTTGAGAATATCTCTGGAGAAAACAGATTTGTTTTGAATTTTGCATAATAGGAACAAGTCATATAGAAAATACACACAGAAATACTTATAAAATTTGCTAACAAAATCATTCAAATTAAGAACATTAAAAAAGTAATTTAAATTTTTTTTTATTAATCTTTAATTATGATTCAATGGAAGAAGACATGAATCTGAAATCATTAAATTTTGTCAGTTTCTATGAAAAGGAGTCTAACAGTCAATTTGGAAATAGAATGTGACCAAAATCATATCAAGTAAGATGAATTATGAAAAAATTAAATATTCTAGCATCAGTGAAACCTGAAGAAAATAAAAAGACTTCTTATTTCCAAGATCTTTTTTTTTACTGAAAGAACTTGTTTCAGTAAAAAAATGAAAACAAAACATATATAAAGTACAAAGTTTAAAAAGAAATGGAAATGTGTAAAGAAAAAAAATATGATCAAATACACAAGATACTTTGATGTTCATGTAAGTTTTGGCATGACTATAGAATGATTACAAGTGGATAAAGAAGTAATCATGATATTTTGTAAAAGAAACTAAAGTTGGTACTTTGACCAATGGTTGTGTAGTTTTCTCAGATAAGAGAGAGAGAGATGGTGAAAAGGAAGAAGTCTGAAGAGAAATGGAGACAACTTCTTAACAAGGCCTTCCGTTGGCTTTAGGGGCACAATTAATCACAGCTGAACATTGAATAGTCTTAGCTTGGAGAGATTTTCAAAATGTACACACATCATATTACAAGTGGCTTCTGAAAATAACCTGCTTTTAAGTGCTTCTGATCATGACCTTAAAGTTTGAAAATAAGAAATTTAGCCAAGCCTTATTAATAGAGATACTCTTACAAGAATCTTGCCCACCAACTATGACCCTTCTAACCAGTTTCAGGTCTTGAAGAGAAGAAGCAAATAAATGATTAGAGAAACTCAGTCCTGCTGATAAAAAAAAAGATCAGTAAATTAGTAAATTTTTATAAAAGATTGCTTATATTAAGTAATTGGCCCAAAATATAGATTTATTATCAAATGTTTAAAAAAGAAACGATTCATTAGTTAAAACCAAATACAACAAAACTTTTCTTAAATATTTAAAATAGTTACAGCAAGTCTGTGAATCACAAGTTATATTTTAAGACAAATATTGTAAGTTTACAAGTAGAGAGGAATAAATATTCACAACTTATCTGACAGCAAACTACAACCAATCCAAAAACCCAGTAAGGGTGAGCAAGGGAAGGTGGGTTTGGGGTCAGGAGGAGGGAGGCTAGGGGGTCAGGGCTGATAATCTGATAGAACCACCAGGAGTTTTGAAAATGTTGAATGTATACAAATGACACAACATTGCTGAGAATTATATGATTTAATCTATGAGAGTGGTGTTATTTTCTCTCTCATATATTGAAATGCTTACACAGCACATTTTTATCTTTCATTCTTCTTCTAAAAACATATGCAGTGAAATAAGGTCTTCAAAAACTTCCAATTTGTTACTTATTTGATTTAAAAGTTATAAGAAAAATTAAAATTAAATTCAATTCTTGAGGTGAGGATGGAGTAAAGATTATACTATGTAAACAATTTTGATTCCGTGAACATATGTTAATGTTATTGGTATGAATTTAGCATTTTACAACATGAGAAATAAAGACAAACATTTAAATTAAAGAAATTTAAAATTTTTAGAAATTAAACAAAATCCTTTGGTATAATAAAGTTTTAATTAATTTTATAAATGTTACTCTGTAACTAAAATTTTAAATATCTGTGCAATCATTAAACACAGTTTTCTACTTTTCAAAGACATCATTGAAAACTGATTATAATGACAATTCCAGTTGAACATACATTTCCATGTCTATTTTTGAATTTTATTGAATCAAGATAAGCTTTTTGATCGCGATGTTTCAGAAGTTGTTTTATCAGTTTTTTCTATTTGTAGAGTCAAATAAGAGCAGTAAACACACAAATCTTAATGAGAGAGTGCCCTTGTTTTTCTTAAAAACTGCTTTCACACATTCTCTCCTCTTGTTGATTCCTGACCATGAAAATGTTTGGTGATTATTAAATAGATAACAGTATGCCATAATTTCTAATTGAAATCGCATTTTTTTTTTTTGCTCAGAATAGTATAGAATTCTGAAAACAAATATATGAGAAACTCCTTTCACAAAATCTTACACACCTGATATTGTTGAGTATTTCATGACATTCTTGACTGATTTTGCTTGTCATAATTGATGAAAGAGATACAAGTTACAATTATATGGTTTTAAATGTATCACTTCAAAAGAAGATGAAACTATGATAAACGTTCTGTACCATGATGTGTACATAACAAAAGTGTTAAGTTTTAAGAATAGGAAAAAAAACAATGTGCTATTATTTGAAGGCAACATAATGCTACAGAATATAATAATGTAAGTCTGTTACAGTAACAAAGCACTGTACTTCCACATTATCACTACTACTAACAATTTATACACTTTTGCCATCAATGTTACAATAGCCTGGATATTGCAATTGGAATACACCTTGGAACAAATTGCTGTTGCCACAGCTAAAATGACTGCCAAACGATGCTCACATCCACTGTTTGTTCTCTATAAATGATCACCAAGCATCAATGAATGTCAATGGTTGGAATTTTTTCTACAGTGGAATTCATTGACACATCTCTAATTCATATGCACTTTCATGTCAGATGCCATTTTACCAGCTGCTATCAGTTACTCGGAAAAAAAAAAGAAGAAATTATTGGTTATTGGCAAGAAGATCCAATTTCTACTGCCATATCACTAGTATCCACCTCTAAAATTATAAGCCAAAGAGGCATTATTTTTAGAGTGTCTCTAATATTTTAAAATAAAATGATAATAGCAAAAATAAATAATACATTTAAAAACTTCACAATAATTAGTTCACTATTTTAATTTGAGCCAAGTGGGGCTTTATAAATATTTTGGTTGACTTACTGAGAATAAAAAACATATTGGTGAAGAAATCTAACGAGAAGTTGGTAAATAAGGAAAGCTTTATGAAAAAAAACCCCCAAAAAACAAGTTATCAAACTCAGTTGATGAAAAATAAAAACAGACTGAAAACAATTCTGAGGTGAAGTGCAGTAAAAGATCAAAAGAAAATGGCCTTTGAGTGGAGAAACAACAAAATGTAACAAGATATTTAAAAAAAAAAGAAAATGAGAGAACATAAAATTCTAACCAAATTGAAATCAGAAGAAATATAGGCATGTTAAACATTTTTGAGAAAATTAACCTTCTTAAAAAAAGAAAAAAGTTTTGTACTTTCTAAAAAAAATTAAGCACACTAGGCAAATGAAAACAAAACCTGGGATTTAGTAATAAATTAAGGAAAAGTAATTTATTTTTCAAATATAGCAAATTTAAACTTTTACCTCAAGTTCCTTCAGTTTCTCAAACTTAAATGCTTCTATTTTTAGTTAATAGAAAAATGTAGCTACAAACAAAATAGAAAGAAGTTGAAGTCTTCACAAACATTTTCACATTGTTTTCCTGAAATATTTGATATACAAACGAGGAATATCTGTCTTAAGTAAAAAGACAAACAAGCCCATCCACCACCACAATAAATGATATGGAAACTGGATATTTATTCAGAAAGAAAAGAGAGACAAATGAGAAAAAACAGAAATAGCTTCATAAGAGTTATGAATCATTAATTGTTAAAAGAAAAATGATACTATTGCATTCTATAAGTCTGATAGGAAGTAAACATTTTTTTTTCTAATCATTTCACTCTAAGCAAGCCACTAAGCCACAAGGGGTTACTGAGTGTGAAAGAATATGAGAAAAAGGAAAACATTATTAAGGAAAGAGAGCAATAAAAGAACAGGAATAAAGAAAGTAGATGATAATGATTGACATTGCATTTAAATTTTTGAAAATCATAGTTCACTAGGAAGCAAAAGTCTTGAAAAGAGTCCCACAAGCAAGAAGTGTAATAGAAGAAACTGTTAGCATAGAAGTTACGGTTACCTTTAGCCATTTCAACTCTAAAATGATGAGACCTAGCTGCCAATCTAGTACCACACTTAAATTTGTAAAGGCATACAAATGTCAAAACCTGAGAGACAAGTTTTCTTGCTAAGCATCCCCCACCATTATTACAAAAGCATTAGAATATGTTAGTCATAATGAACCACATTTGCAGTTGTTCTGATATAGAGATTTTTTTCTAACTAATATTCACCCAATACAAGGCTGAAGAGCCACTCAAGGTAAAGGGTTACTGAATGAGGTGTGTGATATGCCTGTAAGAAATGAAAAAATGTAGGATAGATAATGATTGACTCTAGATTTGAAGAGGCTAAGAGTGTAGTGTTTGGGTGAGAATCCATGCAGATTGTTAGTAATAACATGCATTTTAGAGCATGTCTTTTAAACTGATAAGATAGCCATGAATATTGTGAAATGAAGATGCACAAACTGCTTTTGGTTTTAAAGCAGAATATAATTCTTTGATAAATTTAATCTGATTTTTTCAAATGGGCAGATTGACACTTGTATGATAATAGTTAAGATATTAAGAAGATAAAAAATGGAAACTATAAATGGCAGTCATTCAAATTTCAAAATTTAGAAATCATTTTAGTGAAGTTTTTCAAGGGCTTCATTGTTA